TTTAAATATTGTTTAAAGGTTGTTTCTGGCAGGACTTTGACAGATCAACCCCAAGTCCTCTGCAAGGTGCAAGGAACTATGCAAAGGACTTGCCGATGTAGAAGCATCAACATGAAGGTCTCTGAAAGCTGCAGCAAGAAAGGGCACAGTGCAATTGCCACAGCCATTAGCTGCAGCAAGCCTTCAGTTTTCTTCAGCTATTATTTTCCTCTGCAATTTTCAGACCTCCTACTTTTCAAATAATTATGAGTTTTTAGAAAAGCCTCCTTTACTACTAACTGACCTTCCAGAACTTCTTCAGCACAACCAGTCTAAGTATTTGCACATGTCCAACCATCCAAGTATTGTAGTGCCCATTTCTCACCTCACTTTGCCTTCCTTGTTTCAGGTGAAAAACTGAGACATAAGGAAAAGACAAGTGACATGCCCAAGGTCCTACTGTAAATCTGTTAAGGAGAGAAACTGAAGGAAAGGTCTGCAGCTCCTGGACTAGATCTTGATCACCCAACCTTTCTCAAAGCATACATAAGAGAAAGATAAGATTGAAAGCTGACAGGAAAAGATAAAATTTACCACAAACAGAAAAGATCTGCATAGCCTTAATCATAAGATTCTTCTAACAGTCTTAAATAGGCAACATTTAGCATGTAACTTTCACTTTTATCTGTCAATAACAATAAAATTATTGCCTATAGTTCCAATGTCAAAACGGGCACAGTTGACTCAAAACACTTCCAAATGCAAACATGCTGGCCACCAAAAACCAAAAGCAAATGAACACTAAAAGGGAGCAAAATGTATGACTGCAGTTAAGTGCAAAAAATAATCATTTTACAGACTTAACAGAAACTGCACAAAGGTGGGACTCCAGAGAGCAGGACTGTGCTTTTTTCTGTCTTAACAAACCTACCTCTTTAAGTCTTACCAACCAGGGTAAGGAAATCTAATTAAAAAAGAACAAAACAGCAATATTGAAACCAGATTTTCCTGCAGATTACAGTGCAGCTCTACTGGTTTACACAGAGAAGATCATTATGTTCTGTTCCTTAAACTGATCTGTGGTTGAATTGTGATTTCTGTGGAACCATGAAAATCAAAGTGCAGACTCTACTAAAAATGTTTTGTAGCTGCCTGGTCACATAAAGCAAACTGCCAAAAATTTGGCATCAGTATTTTTACCTCTTGCAAAACATAGCTTGTAGAACTTTTTCACCGCCAGCAGAGCAAGAAGAATAGATTAGACAGACACCACTAGGTCACTGGCACTGTAACTAGGAGAGCAGGGAAAATATTTTTAAAAAACTAACATCATCCTGCCTTCCTGAAGTTTAGGAAACAAACAAACTGTATTTCCTTGGGAGAAAAACCAGGGGTTAGATTTTTCAAGAAGAGAAACTTTATAAACGGCCTTATGAATATCCTCTTCCCAAACCAGCTACACAAAAGAGGAAGGAATTATAAATGTTAAAAACACACGCCAGCTAACACTGTCACATGCCCAACAGTAACAGCATTCAGCTGTCACCTCCTAGATTCTCTCCCAAAATGTACAGGGTTGCTACTCTGAGAATGACAATGCCTGGCAATAATACATAATATTTCAATATTCTAACATTGAAAGGAAAAAAAAATCTTTCTTTTTTGTTGCTTTCCTTTTTTGTTGCTTTCATTCAGTCTCCTCAACTGGATATTGCTTTTGTCTCTCAATCTTTCCAGTGTGTTTTCTCTCAATGAATTTAAAAAAAAAAAAAAAAAAACAAAAAAAAAAAAACCAAACTTCTTTTCCCCTCTTGTAAACCCAAAACAGATCTCTTAACAATTTCCAGGGGATACAGAGAGATGAGAAAGATTGGCAGGTGTGAACAGCACTGAACTCAGGACTCTCCATAGAACATCCTGTCCAGCATACAGTCTAGTATCCTGTTATGCCCCACAGTTGCTCCTATTTCTTCAATTCTTGAATATGGAAACCCCCAAACCATCATCTCCTTGACTTCTTATTGGCCCATCCCCATCCTGACATTCACAGAGGTGGAACCCCAGGGGCCCTCCTGGAGCATGAGAAGCCTCTTGTGCAACAAATTGAACCACAATTCTCAAAATTGAACTGCAAGATTCACATGGTGCCTAGGTCAGTTAGGTCTCAACCCAGTGATGAACACAGGGAGCAAGGAAAGCTGGTACGTTTTGAGCATCCTACCGACTGTTGCAAGCACCCCTGCAAAGATACTCACAAAACTCTATTGCGTGCAGGGAGACAGAATGGTCAATATACTTGAAAGGGAAGGCTGGGGAAGAAAACAGAGCAGGAACAGCAAAGCCTTTCCAGGAGCCACCCTTTCTTTAAAGATTCCTTCCAACCCAAAGCATTCCATGATGAGACTGATTTTTGGTAAAGGTTTCAAAAAGCAAGAACCACAGAGAAAAAGAAGTTAGAAGCACAAGTGGGTTGATTTTACCCATTCAAAGAGCACTCACATTCTCACTCTTAGAAGTTCTCTTTGATTTATGCTCCATTTTACAGTGAGCTTCCAGAGTTTGCTCGTTTCTATTCATTCTTCTTCACTCAACCCCCCTTAGCTGTTTTCCCTCTTCCTCTCCCCCACTGACAACCATTTCCATTTCTCTCTTTATCCCCCACTGTGTGCTCTTCCTGCCAAAAACATCGCCATTTAACAACATTGCCAAACAATTTTTTAAAAAGTATTTTAAAACAATCCAGGGTAATAAAACTGCAATATTTAGTCATGTGGTTATGAGTCAGGTTAGAACATATACTGATCTTTACATTCAAATAAACCAATAAAACCAGCTTAAGTCATGTTATAAATTTCTGGTTGTCACCAAACTCTATTTCCATCCTTCTTCGTGCCTCCCCTTCCACCTTTTATTGCACGCCCAATAGCCCACTCACTCCCCAACCTACACTTCAGCCCCATTACATCTCACACACAGTGCTGACTGGCAGCCCTCCAGGTCCTGCTGAGGTCATCAGCAAAACCACATCAGATATCTGTTACAAGCATTACAGCCAACTTGAGTATACAATGGGGAGATAGGCAAGGAAAGCCCACAGTGCAGCCGGCAGCGAGTCCATGATCCAGTCCTTACAGAGGGCAACTAAATTCTCAGTTACAGTGATGTACTTCTAAAACAAGCAGAACCAATTTCACTGCAGCTTCTCCACAAACAAGTCAACTTCATAAATGTACTACAAGGTAATCAGAATTTAGGGGAGGGACAGAAGGACGGTTCTTTTTCAGGTAAGAGGTACAACAGGAAATTTTTCTTAGTTTAATATAAGCTGAGCCTGTGCTTGGGACAAAAGGTATTTATAGATATATACCTACATGTTCATATCCATATTTGGAATTTTAGTTCACACATACATAAGATCCTAAGAAAATATATTTAAATAAAATTTTAAGCACCTAAATCTTGTTTCAAGTTGTATGCAAATTCACCACTTTTTTTTACCCTAAAGCTCCTCTAAGAATCTGTATTCTAAAACTCCTAACAGTAGGAACTATGGCCAAAATTGCTTGCTTGTTGCCTGCAGAGGACTCAGGCTCTGCTGCACCTGCCCATCCAAGCACCAGAAAGGAGACTGAACTAGTTTGAAGCCAGAGAGCCTGGTTCCTGTTCCAGCTGTCAAAAGCAGCACTGTGTAAATGATGCCTTAGAAGGAAAAGGCTTTTCAGAAGTAAGAAATAAGTACCAGCTATAATTCAGGGTGGAGAACTTAACTCTGTCAACTTTCAAGCTACCTTATGTTCCTTCCAGATGGTATAACTGCAGCAAAGACTGTAGCAAATGTGACTTCAGATTAGCAAACCATAATCCCTCCCCAAGGCTCCACAGCCAACTACACTGAGATACAGTCCAGTATTTTGGTCTCACTTGACAAAACCAATTTTATCATATGGGCAGTAACATCTCACATACATACACTACATTTTTGAGCAAGGCAAGGACTGCTATGATGTCCTTTACTCAAAAGCACTAAAGTCAGGGTAACTGTGAATGCTAATATTTTTGCTACTACTCCTAATTCCCTCATGCAGCTTCCTTAATCCTTGGATGGAAGAGTGAGATAAGCATTTAAATGGTTAAAGTACAGGCATTTGGCATAACAGTGACTAGAAAAATAGATAACTAGATTAATTAATCTATGTTATTAATTAATTAATAACATAATTATTGAATGAATGAGGTTATTAAAATAATCTGCCAGCTTCTTACATTAGAACCATGGCTCTTGAGTTTACATCAGTTCATTCCCCTCTAACAAAAACCGCCCCCATTCATGCACATATATCCCCTCCCTTCCTACACACAGAGCGACACTTCATTTTGCAGCCCCCAAAGTTTGCATATGGACCATCTGAATGCCACCATCTAGGCTGCTCTTTCTGAGCTCAGCACTGGACCACAGGCAAGTGATGCCATCCTGGCCATCTCTGCCTGGCACAGCAGCTCCCACTGGTAGAGCTTAGTTACTCATTGTCTTTTGCTGTGCTCTGCATGAGCCCATGTTTGCACATGATTCTTGTGGCTTTCCCCAAACTTGAAAATACTCACCTTCCTATTTGAGTTTCAGTCTCTAAATGTACTGTTTAGTGCAACTGGCTGTATTTTTCCACCAGCCCCACAACTAACCATTCTGGCATCTAAACATTTCCACATGCTTCATTTCATCTTCAGTCACATATGTTGGCTCTATCAGAAATTATTTTCAAGATCATTGCTCCTACAACAGTTAATATACTACTGAAAAATCATAGGGTATTATGATACTGTTGGATACACCACCTATCTATACTAGAGATGCTTTGAAAGAAGTTCTCTTTCTAACACAGATATAACTAATCTTTTGCCAAGCTCGGCTGCAATGTCGGTGAGCTTCACCTCTTTTAAAGAAACTGCCTTATGTGTATTTGGCATCACATTAGTATATATGAACAGTGTTTGGGAAGTCAAAATGATTAATTATTTCTTACCTACTCCCAACAGGACATGTTCTTCATTTTCTTTAGAAGGAACCATGGAGTCTAGGAAAGGCTAGAAACAGAAAACTTGAGCTATATCTTTAAAGGCATTTGTGCTAGTTGTAAGCTGTGCTATAGGCTTTCAGAATTCAGTTCAAACACTACCAAGCAGCAGTCACTTCCTTTTATCCATTTTAATAAATGCAACAAATACAGCATGCTACTCCCAGACTCTAATATGAACCCTACACACTCAAAGTCTAAACATAACCGAAGAGGAGACTAAACAATATATCACTTCCCATGCAAGCTCCAGTTTCCAGTCTGTTCTCTGACAAAGTTTAACAGTGCCCTGACTAGCCAATATACAATGTTTTGGAGGAAAGAGCAATGTATTTTTAAGATGCCTCTTTCTGTAATGCCAGAGTTGTTCACACCTGTAGAAATATCCCGTATCAGTTCATTCTTTATAGTCAATTACGGCCGTTCTGATAGATCAAAACAGAGACAGTCAATATGGTACCAAAACCTTTTCCCCTCAGTAAGACTTGTAAAGTGCAACACTCTACCCCAAAATGCGTTTTCAACATAGACTCCAAAATGCATGCATACTGCAGAGATGTAATTCTGAGATTATATAGATTATGACAGTTACAATCCCGAACAAATGGTCAAACTTCTGCACAGCTGGCAATTAAAAAGAAAAAAGTCATCACTTGTATAATAATGACCTAACAAAAGTGGCAGTCCAACAACATTCCACTAAATTCAGATGTTATTGAAAAAATCAATATTATTACAATTATTACTAGCAGCTAGTAGCTACTAGTAGCGAGTAGCTATTACTACTACTACCACCTATCACCTTTACCAGATTTGCCAGATTTTTTACCAGATGTTGTTTCTCACAAAGTGAATCATCATTTTAGCTTCATACCCACTTAAGCTAGTGATCTAATTCCTGCTTTAAAAGGCAATAAAACAAAACACTGAGAGAAAGGTTTTCTGTTTTTGTAAGCAGATACATATTAATAAAAAGCAGAATAGAAGACTAGAGATCAAATACAACTGACTAACCATAACAAGACTTCTCACAATATTGGTCCCCTCCAAAAGTTGATAGATACCTCCAGGTAAATGACAATGGGTACTGCCATATGTTTTACATCAACCATTTTTTCCAGTTAAGATGAGTTAAAGACTCACAGTTACCCACAAGGTCTCTCTTGGAGACTAACTCCTCAGATGTAACGAATCATGCCATCTCAAGGATGACACTCAGGCAAAACAGGTTGTGCTCCCCCCAGACTGGCAGCCGAACCACTAAATGCACTAAGGTTCACCATAAACGCAAGAGATTTCTGGTCCGAAAGCACAGCTTGCTTCTCCAGCCCAGATTTCCAGCCCACAACCACATAACAGGTTCTTTCAAATAATAATCATCTACACATGTAACTATTCCTGCAGGATAGGAACGGGCAGGAAACGTTGTCTGGCAGGCATTAGTCACCTTATTTATTTGTTAGCTCTGGGCGGTGCTCAGATAGCCAAGCAGAGGTTGCTGCTTCTCAACCTAAACAAAGCTTAATATAAAGAGAAATCCATACCTTTGTATCGTCCTGGGACAACTCATCAGATGCCAAGTTCACAGGACCTGTAAAAGCGAAGATTCTTGCTTCTAATAACAAGCAAAGTCAATTTGGTTTCTGCTTTGGTTTCTGCTGCTGTTCACTTTCATTTTTCAAATAGAAGGGGGACACAAGGGGCAGGCAAGTCAGACCAGCGGATAACGGGCAGCCCATGTATCTCCCCACAGCAGCGTTCCCATGGGCAGCGTGAAAGCTCATGCATAACAGTGCTATGTTATTGTCATACTTATGTCCAGGCTAGACAAGCAACACGATTTGTCAGCCAGCTGCTGATTAACCCCCACACACTCAGAAAATCAACAGTTTGCCATGCCTCACACCAACTCTGCAGAGCAGCTGTGCTCTGCTTTTCTTCTGCAGGGCTTTCATGCGGGTTTTTTTCTAATGGTTCCATCCCATGGCCGTTGGGGAGGACACAGCAGGTGCAAAACAAGGAACACACTTCGCAAGTTTTGCCCAAACACAGCCTCAAGGACTATTGTGAAACAGCAACCAGGAGTTATCTGGCTATAGGAATGCAAATGAACACCAGCATCACTCAGGCTTCCAGTAGCTTTATTACCTAGTAAACATATTTTAAATAATAATAATTACATAGCCAGAGGTATGCTGGTAAATACGTTTTATTTTATATTGAATCTCCCAACTCAAGGTTCACATCTGTTCTGGGATACATGAATCCCTCTCTGTTCTCAAGCTCCAGCAAACAGCTGAACTAAGTATGATTCAGCAGCTAGTGTAGGGTGGTTTGAAGTATTGCCTTGAGAAATGTGGGGGTTTGGGACCTCTGTCCTTTCTTGGCATTGCACAACATCTGAGTTTAGAAAAAAAGAGCTGCATCAATATATCTTTGGAAAAACTATTCAAAGGCATCTGCCTACTAACGAGATCACACAATCTTCAGCAACAGTTCACCAACCCTATCTAACCTGCAGGTCTTTGTGAGACCAAGTTCCGAGATGCAACATGTGGGCCCACTGCAACCAGTGCGCCTGTTGTTCCTCACCCCAGTAGTGCCACTTCATGCTGGTAGGAGTCAGGACTGAGTTCTTGCTGCTGACTATCTTTATCATTAATTTTTAATTAATCCACCTTCTTTAATTAACCTTCTGCAGTAGTCACACATATACCTCTCCTTGCATTCTAACAATCACAGAGCACAAACCACTAATGCCAGCAAACAAAGCATCCCAGGCATTGCTTTTCAGCTATAAGGAAGACTATTTCTTCTATAACTGCAACTGCAGAAAATTACTTTAAAAACTTCAATGGGAAGATAATTTTACAGCACAGCCATACGATCAGCATTATTATCATTGTGTTATAGTTATTATTATTATGCAGTCTCACAATACTCAGAAATAAAAAACCTGTTTGCTCAATACCTAACAGTATTCAGTCAACTCATGGGCATGGAATTTCAAGGTCAGAAAAGAGAAAAAAAGCACAAGCTACTGAATTAGCCAAAATAACATGTATTTCACCTTTTGTTCTGCATCCTCACTGGATAATGTATCACCCCATGTATTTGAATTTAATTATGTTGCTATGAGAGGTTCATTGCTAAGCTAGTAGCATCATCTTACACTGACCCACTGCTTTCATATGGTTGCATGTCACAAGAAACAACATATTGCTATAGCAACTTCCACTTGATAATAGCACAGGACTTCTGATAGCATTGTGTTTTAAAAGTTCATTGATCTTGACTTTAGGCCCACCCAGAAGTGAGTAGTTACTACTTCTTGGAATGGCAGCAGTTTGAAAATCTGAGTAGGATCCTTTCATGACATGAATGAGCCAAATTAATGCCCTGAGCCTAGCATTCATTTTATAAAGGAATTCAGTGAATGCAACTGAGAATGTAGTAAAAAGTATTGTGTCAATCATTTCATATCATTTCTTCTTCTAATAGCAACAATTTTAACTCGGTCTTGAAAATGGTGGCAAATGGAGAGTGTAAGACAGGCTACTGGTCACTAGTAACAATCATTCATGATTTTTCAGTATCTGGATTTGGTGGTGGTTAGTGCAAGAGGTAAAAAAAAACCCAAAAAGTCTCACTTACAGCAATACAGTAACTTGCAAAGCGTGGAACCATGATTACTATAATTTGTTTTTATAGGTCCTGTATACTACCAAAACATGGCATACTTTGCTTCGTGCTACTGAACTACGGGTGTTTTTTTTTTTAAACAGGCACAAAAGAACTCTGATGTATAAAGGCACAAAAGTATGTAAGTTCCATTGAAAACATAAATAGGTATGTCTGCCTATGCCAATAGCTATGTCAAATATTTTTGGTGTAAAGAGGGGATGAAAAACTTTACAATCAGAATCCAAAATGAGACTAGATGTTCTGAACTGGTGATCTTTATTCTAAAGAACCAATATCCACTGATAGCCATTATCTGCTTGTGCCAAGTCAGCCAGAATTAAAACTGCTTTTAGTGAAAAGTATCAAAGTAATCATCACCTAGAAGTTGTATTGCCCAAGCTACTGCCACATTCAGTGCTACCAATCCAGGCTATTCACTTTCTGCCCCTGGGGAGCAGCACAAAGATCACACTGGTCAGATGAATACCCAGAGCCAATGTTTGCACACTGCATCACCGAAGTAATTCATAAACCTTGTATGGTAAATTGCCACTTACAATAACAGATGCACAGTTTGCAGCTGCTAACAACAGCTTATCATTTCTCTGTAAGTTTACTGTTTAATGGCAAAATGTTGCTGGAAATGTTGGGCATAAAACTCCCTTTTCCAGCACTAAAAAAGGCAGCCTACATGTTTAAACAAGAGCTACATGACGTCTAGGTCCCCATTTTATCCATTCACATAAAAGTTTCTAGCCAATGCCACCTGGAACTTCAGTCTCATTCCTTTCCTTCAGTCTGGCCCTGGTCCTATCAGCAGTTTATGCAGGTACTCACATTTCTGCTAGGGCTGCGCCCAGCACTGCCACTGAGCAAGAGTGAGACTCTTGCAGAGATCACAGTTTTCAGCTTCTTGCTTAATCTAAATATGCAGCATCAGCCACACAAGCAAACAGCCAACTGATGGAAATATTTAATTAATCTCTAACAATCATATGTAAATGCCCGAAGTATCATACTTCTGATGCTTTTTTTGTGGTTTTCTTTTCAGCTGTAAGACATGCTTGCTCCAATGCATACCGGGATATATTCTGGTAATGAAAGAGCATTCTCATCGGGAAGCACAGTCCCACAATACTAACAGAAGTAAAATGGTCACCAAAATATTGAATGTCTAATGGGAATTTTGCCACATTAAGAAGGCTGGACCGGATCCCAAAAACTATTCATACCAAACGTTGCTCTGCTCCTATCTTTATTGAGTTGTTCGGCTTCACTGGACTTTGCAAGCTGAAGTGTTCATTCAGTTAAACACTGCCCTCTCCTGGAATCTTCTGGCATTTTTCTGGCTCTTACAATAAAATCAGTTGAGGCTTTTCTGGTCACTATAAACGCCATAATTTTGTGCACAATTTCAGTCTAACATTGGAAAAGTGATGCTTTCTAGGGAGTATTACGATTTACACAATTCTTGTAGTGTATTCCACTGTTGTCTACTTACAGGTTTCTAATGTCATATGAAACATATGACCTTCCTTAATAAATAAATAGTATATGAATTTGTGCCAACTTTCTAAAGCTTTTAAAGACTGCAAAACTATGGAATAAAAAACTGTACCTTCTACATGGCTTGCTGTAGTGCAGGGAATTTTTGTTCCTTCCACCGTCTCAACTTGGTTTGAATTAATACTCTATTAAAAAAAAAAAAAAAAGACAGTAACTGTATTTGATGTCTATGACATTTATCTGAAAACCCAAAAATAATATCAAAGACTAGCAAACAAATATGTTATAAGGAATACTAAAATGATTGAAAGAGATTCCACGGAGTATTTTATTGGTTACACTCCAAAGGAAACAGTAGCAATTCCTCAAGAGGAAAACTGGTAAAATATTTTCAAATACAAAGACAAATAACCTCCTGGTTACAACACACAAGGGAGCTAAAGGATCAGATTTACCATTTATAATGCATTGTTTATAACTTCCCTCTCGATGAGAACAAAAGCAGCATAACAGCTCTTTTGAGAAGTCTGGTTAACCTTGAGAGCATCTCTATAAAGCAATTTTGATGGATAGGTAATACAAAGAACCTAAACCAGGGCTAAACACTAACTACATGGTAAACCCAACTGGAATGCAGGAGCCACTCCCTCCCTGCATCCCTGGCCCCTGGCTGGGCTGACCCCTTCACTCAGATACACACAGAGACTAATAACTCCTGCTCAAGAGAAGGCTGTATTTTACTGCCTTATTTTAGCACCTTCAAAGACTATAAGCAAAGGGTGTGGAGGACAGAATGTCTCCTTTTGAGTAGTTGCATCTACAACTCTGCTTGCTTTTAGTTCTTCCCTCTAGTTAGGTTGCTGTGTATTTGTCATCCACCAGAGCAACAAACGGAAAAAAGGCATGGTAACCTGAGTATGAAAGAAAAAGTGAGGGATTACTCTAGGCTGAATATTGCAGCCAAACTGATCTGAAAGCAGTCAAGCGAGCTATAACACCTGCCTCTGTGGGGCTAATTACATATTTCTCAGCTCCTCTGTTTTTGTGTGAGACACCTTCCTATTCCTATATCTGCCAGGCAGAAATAAATCAACTGCTTCCTGGGAAACTACTGTATCTGCCCACCACCAGGCAACAAAATTACTTACACTATTATAAGTTATCTTAATCATTTTGGGTTATTATCCTGGTTTGGCCTTTTTTTTTTTTTTTTTTAAATACCCTGACCCTATTTCACCTGTCCATTAATCCCGGGATTTCTTTTCCTCTCACAGAGCGCCTCTCCCTTGCACTGGCTGTGCTGCCTCCAGCAATAGAGACAGCCAAATGATCACCTCCACACGCTGCTTAGGGCTCTGCTGGAGGTGTGAGATGAACCATGCGGCCTCCCTAACGGGTGCTGCTACCACCACAGCAATTTCTGCCCCAAGGAGGTTGCACAGAGCTCAAGCAATTCCACGTTCTTCCTCATCATCTTCAAAAATCTCTCCTCTGTATTGCCTAGCACAGCCACAAAACCTGTGGGTCTACACTTTTTGAACTGCAGAGCCCCTGCGGGTTTCCAGTGAAGGCATGGCTCCTCTATGGGTAACTAACTTACTGACAAGTTGTTTTAACTTTTCCATTACTCCTTTAGACTTGTAAGGACTAGTCGAGGGACTAAGAACCCACAGAGCAGGGACTAAAAAACATATTTGAGAAAGACTGGGATTTTTTTGCATGAATAAATGCAAAAATAGTTTGTGCTGCTCCCTAAGCCACCCACTGCACACATACAAATACAATGCTGCATGCCACCATAACTGAGACAAGCCCCTTCTCTTTAGTTCGTGTCTGATGCAAGCCTAAATAGCAATGCGGTCATTTATGCAGTCTCAAGATATAATAAACTAGATGTACAGTCTTAGTCTGCTGTAGATGAACCAAATACTCCAGTACAGCAATAAATTCTACCTCTATTTTTAAAAGACTATGTATCATGAAATCTCTAATGCCCATTTTATGCTTCAGATCCAGCTAAGGGCTGCAAGTCCTTGTTTGCAACAGAAAAAAAAAAATTTACCTTACCTTTTTCACATAAAACATGGTCTAAACATGACAGTTTGATCATCCCCTCACATACACTGCAGGATGATATTGATGTATACGAAATTAACTAAACCATGTGATCTTCCCAACTATTCTGGCTTATTTCTGCTTTATCAAAAGTAGTGTGATATTAACACTGGGCAGGGGGGGAACAGGGTCCCCACAATGGAGGATATAGACTGCTGCAAGTAGAGGAATGAGCAAAAGGGAAACCCACAATTGAAAGGCAGGAGCTTTTTCCTGAAAATACTAAGTGCAGAATTTTGCAGCCTTTAAAGCGTCTTTGTCTCTGAGAGCCATGCAAACATCTACCACACCACACCTTCTCTTGCTATTTCAAAGACTGAAGGAAGAACAAGGATTTGATGAATGCAAGAAAGAGCCAATAATACAAATAACAATGCATTCATTATTACAGTCTTGGTTTTGCTGTTGCGTTTGCTATTGTTTCCATGGAAAAGCTACACACAAATTGTAGGTATTCTGCAAGCTACAAACACAGAAGAACTTCTTTATATTTGAACAAATCAAAATCTTGGCAGTGTAGCTATACAAGATTATACATAAGGTCTATACAATACATCACACAAGTTTTTGTGTTTAAAATAACATGTGGATCACATTCTAAGCTAAAACAAAAAGAAAAAAACCATGCAGAATGCAATAAAGATAGCCCAAAGAAAATCAGCATACAAGTATGAAAACATAACTTAAGCATGGAAAGATTTTAAGATCAGGGGGAAAAAAAAAAAAAAAAAAAAAAAAAAGCCTATTTTTATTGCAGTTTTATTTCACTAATTTTATATAGTCATGTATTCTCAATCTAAAACCATAAGTGAGCACCTGCATTGCTATTAAAGATTATGTGATTTCAAGTGTTTTCCTCTTTACTTCACAGAAATTGAGAGGTATCCTGAAGAATATCACAGCAGTGCTCTAGATACCTTACAGTAAAATAAGACCTACTAAGCCATAACTAAACTCTACAGCAAAAGTCTGCACTCTGTATTTCTGCTGTAAATAATACAGTGGGGTTGGCTCTTGATAAAGGCTCCCAGACATTACACTAGTAGACAAAAGAATGAAATTAAATAGTATATTTCAAAGTACTAATGTGAATACAATGGCAATGCAATTAAAGACACAGAGACTGCAGAAAAGATTCACTGTAGAGTCCACAATGATTCACAAACAACTTGGGAGGTACAGAAGGCTTTGATAAAGGGCTCAACATGTCTTACCCTCCAACTTCACACATACAGTCTGCTACACTTACGCAAAGTAGAAGCCCACAACAGTAATCCTGCGATTACACTGGCCATTAGTGACAGAGGCAGCTTAAACTGAAAGGCTACTCAAGAAACACAAATCCAGCCTAAAGAGTCTATAGTTAGAAATTACTGAATAAAATCTCTGGACAATCCCCTGAGCTACGCAGGTATTTACCTGGTAAAGAAGAGGTCTGTCCCAGAAGTATTTTCTGAAGAGCTTAATGTCCGACTCCAGCAAGTGCTGCGTGGTATGGCTAAATGTCAGCGTTAGAGCTCCTGATGAATGAATAAACTGCACGCAAACACCCTCGCTGATCTCCACTCTTGAAATGTCAAGCGAGTGACTGCCCTGGAAACTGGAACAACATACACATTAAACCAAAGCAGATGCTCTGCACGCAGGTAGAATGAAAGCACAGCCACAGTGAGGTTCTGGCTCGCCTTTGTTTGGCACAGCCCATCAAGATCCCAATGTACCCACTGCAAAAAGTAGAGGCAGAAAATCTGAAACATCCACCAAAAACACAGCTGGGCAAACAAATACTTACCAGTTACTCTATTCAGGCCTAGGAACACGCAGCTACTTCAAGCCATCAGCAGGGAATAATCGTCAGCTCTAGATGGTTACTCATTATTAAAATAAGCCACAAAGAGCAAGCCTTGACAACACCTATTTTTGCTTATTGCTGCAATTTAGCAACCTTTTCTTGTTAATGTTGCCATATATAGCAGTAGGACACAACTGTCAGCTAGCAGGTTTTTTATCCCACAATACTGAGGAACAGAAAGTATCTCGAGAGTACAGCACTGTTTGGATGTTACGCAGAAATGAGACATACATACAAGAACATAATGTACTGTACCAGTGTTTAAGGGTTTTTTTCAAATTGAAGTACAGGTTAAGTCTCACATAAAGTATAAGCTGCATGGAGCCAGAACCAAATGAGCCACATACCAAATAAAAATGCAACCCAATTCTTTTATTTTCCTATTTGCAGATAAAAGCCAACAGTGAGAAGGGGCATCTGATGCTGAACATTTCATACCCCAAGACACATACACACACATATATCCCACACAGCTCCTCAGGTCCATATATAGGAAACTCCAGACAGATTAAAAGTGCGAGAAATTACTTCAAGTCATTTATCAGTCTGGTAGCTCTTTGGCAAAACAGTCATAGCTGCAGCACTGGCTTTGCTGCTGACACTCCGTTACCCATCCACACCTGAACTTTACAGTGGTCACAAAGTATGCTGAAGTTCTGTGAAAGTCAGGTCCTGTGATTCTGTTTATATATAAATATTTGTCTGCATGTGTTTTAAGAGGTGTCTTTACTTTTTGGTAATGTAAAAGTATTCAGTTGCAATACTGCTGTGAAAGGTACCTGATGGTGCAGCTGGTCCTCTGTTACTTAATTGACTATTAATTGACTTGTGAATGTAATGAAGGATGCAAAACATAAACTTCCTTCAATTGTAAATAGAGGTTTACCACTTAAAATAGTAATAAAGGCAAAAAGCAACAGAAACCAACACAAAATCAACACTCAATAAAAACACCAGTACTCCCCCCATCCCTTAACTGACAGTTTTTCAGAGGAAGCAGCAAACCGTTATACTTACTTTGTGAAGACCTTTACAAGTTCAGAGTGTCCATTTTGTACAGCCAAATCTAATGGTGTTGCTCCATCATCATTAGGTAATGCTAATGCTGATGACCCTCCAGGCTGGGCTGCTAAGAACTGGGAAAGCTTAACCAAGCCCAATTTCATCACAAGGTGGAGAAGAGTTTCTTTATGTTTAGGCTCTGGAAAAACACAACAAACAAACAAAATTATATGTAACAAAATCCAGCACTTTCTTGGCTAGAAAGCATAAAAAAACCCTTGTTGTCATCTGCAGAAATCTCACAGCTCAGGCTCAGACATACAAAAGCACTTTGGCAGAATCCATCTTTCACTGGAATCAACAGAGTTAAATTCCACCTATGAAGCTAGACTAGGATATCCAAATGCCATCTAATTTCATCAAAGAACCACAGAATCATAGAATAGTTTGTGTTGGAAGGAAACTTAAAGATCACCTAGTTCAAACCTACCTCAGACAGGGACACCTTCTACTCAACAAGGTTTCTCAAAGCCCCATCCAACCTGGCCTTGAACTCTTCCAGGAATGGGGCAGCCACAACTTCTCTGGGCAACCTGTTCCTGTGTCTCACCACCCTCATAGTGAAGAATTTCCTCCTAATACCTAATCTAAATCTACGCTCTTTCTGTTTAAAGCCATTACCCCTTGTCCTATCCCTACATGCCCTTGTAAAAAGTCCCTCTCCAGATGTCTCGTAGGGCCCCTTTAGGTACACTAGAAGCTAGTCTAAAGTCTCCCCTCAGCCTTCTCTTCTCCAGACTGAACAAGCCCAACTCTCTCAGCCTGTCTTCATAGGAGAGGTGCTCCAGCCCTCAGACATCTTCACTGCCCTCCTCCGGACTTACTCCCTCTTGTGTTGGGGGCCCCAGAGCTGGATGCAGTGCTGCAGGTGGGGTCTCATGAGAGCAGAGTAGAAGGGCAGGATCACCTCCCTCAACCTGCTGGCCATGCTCCTTTTGCTGCAGCTCAGCACACAGCTCAGCACACAGTTGGGCTTTCTGGGCTGCAAGTGCACATTGCTGGGTCATGTTGAGCTTCCATCAACCAACACACCCAAGTTCTTCTCGCTGCTTTCAACCCAACCGCAGCCCAGCCTATATTTGTGCTTGGGATTGCCCTGACCCCCATGTGCAGAAAACGGTTGGAATTAGATTATCTCAGTATTTCTCTCTTTCCTTGTTTGTAGTACAACATTAAGCACAAAAGATGTCCCAATATATTTCAGAAGACGGTTAACAGGCAATTTTCCAGCTGCTTTGCATTGCCTCAGCAACATAAAACATCTGGCAGCATGGCCAAGTACCAAACATAATCTGAAGAAAAAAAAAAAAAAAAAGAAAAGAAAATAAAGGAGGCAGGGGGTGATTTTTCAAGGCAACACTGCAAGAGGTCCTTAGCAGTATAGCAAGCCATAAGCTGACACTCATGTGGGTAAAATATACAGGATAATTCTTGTGTCTCCCTTTTCAGCAAGGTGACCTCACCTGCCAGTACTTCCTCTTCACTTTTCAGCACATAATCATCAAGCTCAACAGGATGATGCTTAAAATAAATGAGTACACAACGATAAGTTAGTCACTAGATGCTGATTCTCTACCCAAGCCCTTCTTGGGTTTTATTGGAAGATGGTTTTATCTGTCTACATACATTCTCAAACACAAAGCCTCTGCAACTTAAAGGGAATAAATAAAATTGAGATCAAGACCCACTCAACCTGTTCCTTACACTGACATTTGGTATGAAGTTAAATATAAGGGTACATTCACAAAGGTCAAGTATTTAAAGGCAGTTGCTCTACAGCTCTTAAAACAACTGGCTGAAATATATTAGGTTTCCAGTGAAATTTATCATCCCAATTCAACACACTTTTTCTTCCCTGTGACCCAACCAGTTTAGAACACATTATTAAAAATGATGTGCTCCAATGGCAAAGTGAAGCACCTGAAGCATACATAGATACGTACACTCATTTGTGCAAATACAGTTAAAACCAATAGCAAATTGCTGTCAAATTTCCTCTCTGCATCAATATTTACAAGATAAAACTGTCTGATGGAGAACAATCCTACAACAGAAAGCGCAGTTACACACCCGAAAGCTAATACAAGAGTTTTTCAGAAATACTTGCGCACTGAGCAAAGGTATCATGTAGTCACCCGCAAACACAGTGGCTCAAGGCTGACTCCTATTCAGTTTTAGTACTGCCTCTGAAAGTGTCAGGAATATTTATTTTATTGAATCATTAAAAAACCCAAAAAAAACAACCTTGAAGAGTTCTCAAGGTCTCTTGTCCACTCCTTGCCTTAACACAGGATTAGTTCAACTTGAATAGCTCCTGACAGATGTTTGTCTCATCTGTCCTAAAAACCTTCCAAATACAAGAGGTTTTCATAACCTCCATAGGCAATCTACACAACAGATTATTTTACCCTTGCAGTTACAAAGATTCCAAATGCCTAGCTTAGCTAACCCTTTCTCAGTATAAGCTTGCTGCTTCTTGTCCCATCCCACACAGATATAAGACCCACATCATTCCTTTCCTTTCACAGCTTCCTTTTACATAACAGAAGGCTGCTTGTCATGTCTCAGCTGAGAGTTGCTTCTTCAAAGTTGGACGTTTTGGAATGTTCATTCTAGGGGGGCAAAATCATTATCCTCCTCTGAAAACACTGGACTTGAAATGTTGTAGTATTAAAAAAAGCTCTCTCTCTCATCTCATAAAGTCAGAATAGCAAGGAACCTAAGGAACTACTTGCTCTACCACTCCACAAGGAAAAACTACTGTGTAATCTCCACTGGTGATGAGTTTTTGCTCTGACTATTCAGTGGCAACCCATCCAGACTTCTATCTTTCCACTTCAGGTGGTATCAAAACTTTCAACAACATCAAATTCAGGAAAACCAGGTCAAGCTTCCTTCATGAAATAAATTCCAGACATAAGAGTAAAACAGAGCTTCAGAACACAGACTCACCGTTAACAGCCAGCAAACCTGCATGTAGCATCTGAAACCTGTTTCACTGCAGTTCTAACAGGCGCAGACACATAAACAAGATGCAGGGGGAATTCTTTATACCCGAATATCACTAAACATATTTACAATATGTACCTAAGTATTTCTAGAACACATCATTACTTTATAAAATCAAGTCATCTTCCGACTTCCTTCTTACTTGTGGCTAGCCAAAACGTGATCTAGTGCATTAGCACGTCCATGCAATACTTATCTTCCTCCCAGGTTTTGGGCAATAGATTTTTTTCTTTGTCTCCGCATTTCAGATTCTAAGCCAAAAATGTGTCCAGTTGGACACAGGATCTACTGCAGGATCCTAGGCCACAGAGGAAAGTAGTGAACTATGGGTTTTTTTCCTCAAAGGTCTGCAAAATATCTCTAGTTTCAGTCTTTGGAAACAGCGATCATTGCTGCATTTTAGTTACCAACACTAATATGAATTACAGTGTTTACATTTCTATCAAGTGAAATGGCATATATGTTTCAAAGTTTTCAAGCATACAACCTTCATGTCCACTGAATCCAACTCAAGCATTTGTAGAACTGCTTTGCTAAAGAGCAATATGGAACCAAAGAATGACTTGGGTCAGAAGGAACCTTTAAAAATCACCTAGTCCAACCCCCCTGCCATGGGCAGTGACATGTTTCCCTAGATCAGCTTGTCCAAAGCTCCATCAACATGACTTTGAACACTTCCAGTAATGAGACATCCACAACTTCTCTGGGCAACCTGTTCCAGTGTCCCATCACCCTCATTATAAAAAACTCCTTCATTATATTCAATCTAAATATACCCTCTTTCAGTTTAAAACTGTTGCCCCTTCTTCTGCTGCTACAGGTCCTGGTAAACGTCTGTCTCCATCTTTCTTATAAGCCCCCTTTATATACTGAAAGGCTGTAATAACGTCTCCCCAGAGCCTTCTCTTCTCCAGGCTCATAGAACAAATGTCACAGCCCAGACAATTTCTGTGGCCCTCCTCTGGACCTGCTGCAAAAGGTCCATGTCTTTCTTGTGCTGGGAACCCTAGAGCTGGATGCAGTATTCCACATGCAGTTTCACAAGAGCAAAACTCACACAGTGAGTGAGTGGCTGGCTACAGTTAGCCCATAGGCAATATGGAAGCATGAAGATCTGACTCCAATCTGCATCTTCAAACTCATCAAACAATTTGGTCTGCCAGGATCCAAGACCTTCTGTACACGAACATTTACATGAAGAGGGCTCAGGCTTCCCAAAATCCATCCAGAGATAGTGGAAATGATGGCTGATATGCCACGTGAAAAACGGGGACCTCAGTTCAACTTCCTTCTCCAGATGGGATGTGAACCCACACACATCTTCAGACTTCCTCTGATCAGTCATCCAGTGGGAGCATGTGCTGTCTACTCTGTTGCAGAGTAATTGAAAATGGGTCATGGTCCAGAAGGAAATTCCACAGATGCGCAGCAGAAGACCAAGAAAGCAGCAGACTGACTGAGACACAACATCAGCTGGGAGAAGTCTCTTCTGCTAAGACCTTTTTCAGCATTTCTCATTATACTGTCATCAGATGTGGAGAAAAAAATAATAAAAATGCTGGGAGCCCGTGTGTCTCACTTGCTTGGAGAATGCCCTAACCATCCAGACACAGTACAAACGTGTGCCACTGTCTTCCCTTTCTGTATTTCTATTTTTCTTCCCTGAAAACTGACAGTATCATCTGTGCTTTGCACTAGCCCCAGTGCTACTTCTGTGCTTCAGAAAGTCTCCCCAACAAGGACTCCAGCAGACTCAAGGCTATGCCACCAGTCTGGACCCTGGCAGAGCATCGCCAGACATCAGGCATCAGCACTTACTTGTCTGGCATGTTTACGTGTACAGCCAGAAGTTTAAGTTTAGATGTCCGGGAAATGAGCATGTCCAAAACATAGGCCTTAGAACCATAGAATCACAGAATGGTTTGGGTTGGAAAGGACCTTAAGATCATCTAGTTCCAACCCCCCTGCCATGAGCAGGGACATCTCGCACTAAACTGTGTTTTCCAATGCTCTGTCCAACCTGGCCTTGAACACCGCCAGGGATGGAGCATTCACAACCTCCTTGGGTTTGAACAAACATTATGCATTTCAAAATTGCTCCTTAGCAATTCTGCTGAAGTCCCTCTTTAG